GGGCTAATTTATCAAATTATGCCATTAGTATTTGTCTATATTAAAAGCATATGAAAAGTAGAGATGCAAAAGCCTGTGAAATGGCTGAATATAAATGTATAATCTCAGAGAAAAAAAGGTACAACGCTGTCACTTTGGATGTACCCTAAGGTACAAAAGTAAAAAAAATATATATATATTTTTCACATTAACTTGTGCATATTAGTACCTTAAAAGTACATATTAATACTTTAAAGTTCCCGTGAACTGGAATTTGCAACCGGCTTTGCTTCAGTGCTGTGACGTATTTCCAAGTGACACTAAATAGAGGGCAGGGTTTTGTGTTTGCACACCTCTCCATCTCTCGCTCATAGCAGACTAACGGTTGGATGTTTTTGTTTATTTTTTATAGTTTCATCACATAAACATACAAGGCAAATATAAGGCAATGTCATACAGTTTAAAGCATGTAAAACAGAAAACCAAGAACAAAACAAAAATTGAACAAACATATATAAAAAAAATTAACATAAAATAAAAATACCTGTATAAAAAAGCACTATATAACATTACGGCAGTTACATAAATATGAAAAGCTTTAGAATTTTTATTGTTTTTATAAGCTTCTTATTTTGTGATCTCATATTAGAAAGAGTTTCAAAATATATTTTAAGACCAGTCTTACAAAAGGTAATATATGATGGTTTATTTTTATTTTTATAATTTTTTTTACTTGTATATAAAGCTTTGATAAGATAATTAACAGAATAATAATTTTGTTTATCAGAAAAATTATAGGTTTTAAAAACCATTTAAAATATCATGAAGTTGTAAATTGAGGGCTTTGTTTATTTGTTTATTTTTAGGTCTATTTTAAAGTCAACCCTAAATGAAATAGAAAATCGCCATTAGAAAAATAAATGTTCAATATCTTCAACTGATATGTTACAAAAGGAACACTTATCACAAACACTAAGTATATCTGCTAACAGCGGCATTTATAGGATGACATAATTATTAAAGTTCTTATGTTACTTTATTATAAAAAAAAATATTTATATGGTAATATCCAAATGCTATGCCATGGCATACAAAGAGGTTTAAGTCATATTGATTTACATGTAGGATTGGATCTAACTTTAAAGGAGTTTCTTAAAAAAATGTCATTAAAATTGTTTGTCAGAAAAAGGGAGACCAATTACAAAAAGTTGGGGATTTTGTAGGGTTGTATTATTAATATTTACATCTAAGAATTGGATTAAAATTATTATTCCTTTGGGAATAGCCTTAATTACGTTAAATTATTTTTCGTTTACCAAAAAAACATTTTGTAATAAAATTAGGGTAATAATTGCCCATTCTTGTCAATAAGCTGGTTTACAATTAACATGTTATGGCGAACCCAATTCTTCATGTACAATGACTTGTTATTATGAGTGATATTACCATTGTTCCATATAAAACACCTGCTAGGAGAAAAATTGTGTTTGTACAAAAGTTACCAGTAAAATAATGCTTGTTTGTGATAATTGGTCAAAGCAATAGGAAGTTTGTCAGTTATGGACATTGCAAAAAAAAAAATTTATATATATTTT